ATAAGAGTATATATGTTGAAGGGTCTTCTGGTTTCAAGTTAAATAAATGATCAGCCACCTTAATAGCCATTTTGGTGTTCCCATGGTGCTTGCAAGCACTTAAGAAGGCTGCCCATGTTGGCTCATCAGGCTCATATGGCATTGCTTGAAGTAGAGACTCAGCCTCATCGAGGAGCCCCGATCTACCAAGAAGATCTAACAAGCATGTATAGTGCTGCAATGAAGGTCGGATTCTGTAATCTTCAATCATTGATTTGAAAAGCTCACGGCCTTTTTTGACCAACCCGACATGGCTACAAGCATAAATCAATCCCACAAAGGTCACTTCGTTTGGCTTTATTCCAGCTGAGACCATATTATCATATAAGCTCAATGCTCTGTCAGCTCGCCCATGCTGAGCCATCCCGACTATAATTGACGTCCAAGAAACAACATCTCTACGCTGCATTGCATGGAAGATGCTTCTTGCTGCTAATATATCACTACATTTGGCGTACATGTCCACGAATGCATTACTTACAAACAAGCAAGACTCATAGCCAATACGGATAACAAGGCCATGAACCTGCTTTCCAAGCTCCAGCGCAGCCAAATTAGCACAAGCACCAACAATGCTCGAAAGAACTAAAGGGTCTACAATCCCAACCCCCTCTCTTCTCATTTCAATAAACAAACAAAGAGCTTCAATCCCATTCCCACTCTGCACCAACCCGGATATCAAAGCAGTCCAGGAAAACAAATTCCTAACTGCCAATCTCTGAAAGAACTCAATTGCTTCCTTCTTCCTTCCGCTTCTAGCATATCCATATATCATTGCTGTCCTGGAAATCGAATTCTTCTGTTCAATGGAATCAAAAGCAGCACGAGCACTATCAGGCAATCCAAACTTTGCATACATATCAACCAAAGACGACTTAACAACATCATCCTCCGAAAAACACGAAACAATGAACCGGCCATGCACTTGCTTGCCCTGCCTGATAGCACCAAAACTAGCGCAGGCCTTAACCAGGCTAGCGAAGACGAAATGGTCTGGATGCAAGCTGTCACGAGAAAACATGGTGGGGAAGATGGAGAGAGTTCTGCCTGGGAGGTCAGCTTGGTTGTAAGCAGTGAGAATTGAGGCCCAGGAAACATGGTCTCTGTGAGGCGTTTCGTCGAACAAGTACAGGGCATCGCGAAGGAAGCCGCATTTGCCGTAAACATCGATCAGGGAGTTGGGTAAAGGGCCAAAGAGGTGTAAACCAAGCCTCAGGATCTGCGCATGGAGGGTCTTGGCGGTGGAGATGGTCCGATGTTTGGCACAGAGTTGAAGGGTTTGAAGATAGTAAGAGGTTAGCATTCATCACCTTTTTGTAAATGTTTCTTCCCGGCGGCTCATACGAAATAGCCTTCTTGTTCCGTGAAAATTTTGATTATATACGAATATATATATATATATATATATTTTTTCTTTTTTTAACTCCAACTATATTCATTAATTTTTTAGGCTATAATCTCTTATTTTCATTTCTTATTTTAATTTATTAAAATTAAAAATTTCACATGTTAGTATTTTAAAATTAAATGTGCAGTTGACTCTTACCACTAAATTTAGTAAAATAATATAGAAATTAGTTAATTTTTTGAAAAAAAAAAAAAAGAAAAGATTAAGTTCTGATTTCTATTTTTTACTGAAAAATGTAAATATTATATATAAATCTACAAAGAAGTCAGCTATATTTTTTGACAAACTAGTTACTTCCAAACATAATCCTGATGTGAAATTTATAACCCCATCTGCTTGTACAGTTGAATTCTGCAACCCTAACCTGTCTCAACTGGAACATATTTTCATGCACGAATTATGTAGCAACCTTATCATCCAATGGATCTTTAATTCATAATTTTCTGCCCTCAGAAACTCGTTAGGTACTGGTTTGTTTTACAGTAATTTACCATTTTCATGTAATGATTATGTTATCATATGATTACAGAATGTTAAATGATAAAATACTATAAATTTTATCATGAGCATAATATTTCCAAGACACCATAGAATTTCTTCTTTCAATAATGCCTGTGGTGATTCTTAACTCTTTTTCTCAACTCAATTGCAAGCGCCAACTGAGACAGAGCAGGAAACAGTATGGGGGCATCTCATTTCTTTGCTTCAACCAATTTTAGGGGACTAGTCACAAGACAACATGATGAGCCTGAGTTGTATTACATTTTGACTATATTCCCTCCATGAATTTTACATAATACTACCCGGGAGCCCTGGCTGTGGTTGTAACACAATATCTTTATGCACTATTAGACTATACAATAGATGGTAAAATCCCACTTCATGGGGAAATTTTACTTGTACATTCTTGCTATTTCCTCTTTGTATTTTTCTGCCACTTTATCCCTTCGGATTTTCATGGTTGGTGTCATTAAGCCGCTATCAATCTGTAACCAGAAGTTCAGTTAAAGTTCCAAGAAAAAATTACTTCAAAAATATTCAAAAGTGCTCTACTCAATTTTATTTATTTCCATTCAGCAACTTCAGACATAGTTTGGTGGCACTGTTAGGAAACTATCATGGCTTCTGTTTGTTATTCAAACTTTTTATTAAAATGGTATTTGAGATGCGTGTTTAATAAATGTACCATAAAAAGAACGTAAATCATAATGATCCTACTTACTGCCAAGTTGTATAAAATACTCAAAGAATTAAAATAACAAAAATCAGAAATTATAAGATAACTTATAACATGCTGCATGAAAAATTACCGTAAAAGTTTCATCCACAATAAGGATAGGTCCAATCTGAAATGTACATTCCGATGTCCTGCACAAAGAGAACTGAATCAGATAATAGATTATACCACATAAAGTAAACGAATAACTGAATTCGAGCATCTGAACTGCTCTTGACATTTATATGTTCACAGTATATTAAGTTGTATTTCAGGAAAAAAATTAAAAAATAAAGGTAAATGCCAAAGGGTATCACATAACTAGAAGCAAATAATGAAACTGTCCACCCGTGAATAAATTATATGGAGCCAACTATGCACCATAAAGGCAAGAAAAATGAGAAAAGGTGCCCTAGCTCCATGAACACAACCTTGATTTTGATATTAACCCTATAACTTAAATCAAAGTGTACAATCTTTGATGCTTCAACCAACTGTTAAAAACAAGGATGGAGGGATATCAAGATACCAAGACACGTTTCTGTCAATATCATTTAGATATTCCTTTTTTGTTGCTGGAATATTCATAATAATTCTAATTAAAGAAGAATTACCATTTCCTCAGCTCCTCATAGAGCAGGTTGGTAAGTGTTTCTTTGCTTACTTCAGAAGATTCAGCATCCACAATTGATAACCTTTTTGCTGCCACCAATGCCTCTTCCGTGTTTGGAACAATGATAGCTCCCAAGCGTCGTTGATCCTGAACATGACAAAAAGCATCTCAGTGGGTAACACTAGCATATAAACTTGAAAGAAGAAAGGTAGAAGAAAAAGGGACTTTTAGATATAACCTGGCCAATAACAACAATCTGTTGAATCAAAGAACTTCTCATTGCAGCTTCTTCAAGCTCTAATGGTTCAACATTTTCACCTATATTATCAAAAGCATCTACTTAGAATTTATATAATTTTGACATGAATGAAATAACTAACAAAAGAATATAGAGGTTATTCCTAAGCAAATGGGAAATTCCAATAAATGAGTTTACACTATAAAGAAATATCGTCCATTTCACATATCTTAATTATGTGAAATGCTTAAGTGAGAATTTGCATTGCTGCAATTACCATGACACAGTTTTATGCATGGATTTAAAAAAAAATGCAAATGATGGATTTAGGAAAAAAGAAAAGGCAAGGCAGCTAGCCAGGAAAATGAGATGAAAGTCTGGAACACCACATATGAGTAGATAAGTGGAAATAGCACTATGTCCATTGTTCTAGGAGTTATTCAACATTTTCCTTAATAGCACATGAAAATAACAACAACAACAACAATAATACAAAAATATAACTTACTAAACACAAAAGAAAAGAGAATAGATCAGATCATGACATATAAAAAAATGAAACTCTTTTTGAGTTAACTGCAAGAAAGACTCGTGGTTTTAATGTTTGAGAAGAAGTTATTCAACGTACCAGTTGAGAGTACAATTGTGTCCTTTGCACGACCTTCAAGAACAATAAGACCTCCACAGCGACGACTTCGCCCTGTTGAATGATGAGGAGCAATCCAACCAATATCACCAGTATTGAACCAACCATCCTCACCTAAAACTTGCTTTGTTGCCGATAGATTCTGATGAAGCACTAACACAAATCCATAACTTGATAATAACCAATTTGATACAAATATACACATACAACACACGTGCTCACAGATAAACATATAATTATAGCAGGCAGAAGTCATGACTCGAAGAGACATCAGTGACCAGTGCATATGAAAATATTCTCTAACTAAACAGGTTGATCGAGTGAAGCATCAGGCCATGGCATTTTCTGAACAGCAAAGGACAAGCACAAACTGTGTGTACATTCCGATATCAGCTCCCACAAAAAGGAGACCAGTTATGACAAAGGACAAGGAAGAAACTTTTTTGCCATGGAATTTCCAGTCTCAAAATCATTGTTAGAAGAAATCACGACCACAACGCCCGAGACCATCAAGCCAAAAATCTGGGACACTTTTATTCCAACTCCATTTCTTCCTCGTTTGCACTATCCCAATGGTACTCAAAATTCATGAACTCTCTTCACTAAAAGAGACTACTACATTGTAAATACCCCAAGTAAACATTATTTATTAGATTTTTGTTCTTACAGAGTAAGCACCTAAAAAAACTATAGCATTGTTTAAGGTAGAATACAGGAAAATCTTTAGGTTTTGAACATAATCACAAGTAGATCCATTAGTTTAAAAAAATTACAACCTAATCCTAATATTTCGAGTAAATATGACAACTCAGTCAATTAGCTATTATGATCACTGTTAAAATATGAACTGACCACTTTTCTCTCAAGAGAATAGGAAACTCATCGAAAAAGGAAAAGACATGAAATCTTAAAACAATTGAAGATTTTGAATAAAATTTGGGAGAGAGCTTGGAGAATTGCGATAAGAGATAACTGACTGATCAAACTACCGACCCAATTTCCGTCCAGATTCTTCATTTTTATTAATATTTTTATATATGATCTTTTACAGGTGTCCAGTATGTCATCTTGAAAAAATAATACCGATTTGTGCATCTTAAAAAAATAAAACTGATTTGTGCTTCGATAGTCATTCAACATCTAGAATTTGTTTAAACAACAGGATTTTCTTGAAACTAATGAACCTATTTGTAATTAGGTGCAAAATCCAGAGACTCGTAATTTATTCCTTTTTCATTATTGCATGTTTTGTGGATAGGGGGTGACGTGTATTCTCATTCTATGTGCCATCAAGAAAATTATAGTTAACTTAAAGGGTCCATATAATCAAATTGGCAGGGGGGAAGGGGAGAATTACAAGCCAAAAAGCTTCTTCACGGATCAAAATGAGTTTCTGGTAAAACAAAAAGATAACAATCGCTTCTTAACTTTGTTGTAAATTATTATATATGACTCTTTTCCTCAAACCAAAAATGCTAAATCGATGTTGACTGGTTGGTTTGAGATGGAAGACAATAAAATATTTACAAAGTTTGACTTGATGAGCTGTTAATAAATAAC